GGTTGAGTAAATTTGCTGTTAGTTTTGTATGTTTTCTCATTAGAAAGACTAAATTGACCCGAAGTTAAAAGCTTGGGATTAATTGGATGAAATGCGATATCTTGGGACTAAATCGACGCTGAAATAAAATTTTGGGACTAAATCGACGGTTTTCCCACCAATGTCACTAGAAGATTCTACTTTAGTAGTTGGATTGTCACATTGAACACCAAGATTAAATATAGAGTCAGGAGAGTACAAACTTTCAGTACAAAACCCCCCACTATTCCCTTCAGTATAACAACTAATATATTACCTCTTTCACCAAATTCAATTAGTTTGAATTTAGAGAAAATGATTTTTCTTTGTATCTACTATACATTTTTAAAATTGGTATGTGCATTTGAGCATAAATATTTATACAAACACAGACATTTAGTACATACTCTTCACAAACTTCTGACATATGCAATTTACAACATAAATACACTATGTGAGAGTAGCTTAGATCAATCATTATGCAATTGTATAAAATCAAATTAAGATTTCACTAGTACACACATCTTTTTATTACTTCGTAGCACAAAGCATTATGAAGTTCCATATAAACATTTTCATAGAACTCACCACTAGGATAATACTTTCCATATTTAACATGTGAAATATAACAAAATTAAAGGGAAAATTCTAACTAGTAGGATAATATACACAAGTCCAAATAATCAAAACAATCATTACACTTCCAGTCCAAATATACTATTGATGTATCTTACCATGAATAACATATTAATAATAGAACAATCATTTACAATGTACTAGCCTAGAACCTTTCAAGTTAGATCAATTTGGACACATACATCGTTAGACAATGTCAAGTCCATTACATGATTAACTCTTCTTTCCAAAATGCATCAGCCGAAAATTAAAAAAACTCATTGGTTTTAACTTACTATGCACTAAACAACATAAGATTTTACTTAATAAAGTATTTTTATTGCTCTCACTAGGAAGTCGTAATCTTAGAGGATACAACTTCCAAAAGAATTGTTATTTGTTATACACTTTGTTTAAAACATAAGTTAATGTCTTTCTCTTCAGCTCACTTATAGAACCATTTACATTTCGAAAACTGAGAGGTTCACTACATAGTACTATAGCTACTTGCTTTAGAAATTTTATCAATGATAAGTAGCCAAGATACTTTAGTGTTCATATAACCACACACTTGAGTGTTCTTGGTCCCAACTAGGAACACAATAATATGTAATGTCCTTCGGAACTTTTTGTATTAGATAATAAAATTTTCTTCGCTTCCATATTTCACATGGTAACACCTTAGTATTTAGGGAGTTTAATCGTACACATGACAAGTATTTAATAATATTTATTATACAAACTTTTTGTTACTTAAACTCACTAGCATAGCATTGCCATAACACATATAGTTTTATATTTCTAGCCAAATATTTGTCGTTTATTAAATACTAAGTCATTTCACCTACAAGAGTCATTTTAGACTAGGTATTTACATGCAAATCGTATCAAATATTTCATTTAATATTTTGACTAGATAAACCTACACACAAATTTGAGCAATTATCCTTGAAAGTGACAAAATATTTCCTGCATTCCTAAGTTTATAATTATTAAGTTCACATACATCAAGGTATTGTACAAGTATTAACTTCCACATTTTATTGGAAAGTGATCTTGCAACTATGGTTAATGCATATATGTTCACATTTTTATTATTAAGGCAAATAACACTAATTAATTTATATCTTATGCAGATATATATTACCTTAGTAGCCACAGATAATAAGAATATAAATTTCACAACTTTAGTGTGTCATTTGAATGACTAGATACGACTTTCACTTGTATCTTTTCACTTTGAACCAATTGACGTATTCTTCTAAATATGTCTTTTCACTTGAGACCGGTAGACATATCTTTTCATTTATGTCTTTTTATTAGTCAATAGACACAACTTTAGCTTGTATATCTTTTCGCTTGAACTCACAAGACAAAAATACTTAATGTGTCTATTTATCTAAAACTCCATAAATCAAAACTTTTCATAAAAGTGGTCGATTTTGATTCACCAAAATCATACTTTCAAATTGCTAAGAGAAACTTTCATATGCATAAAAAATTAAATTTGATATGTAGTTCAAAATTTAAGAACCAAAATTGTCCCAAACATTATTAGAATTTAGTTATGCTTTTGTCACCGACCTCTCTGTCAATTTTACCCATACTAATGACAAAGTCGACAAAACATACCCGGTCGACATTCCAATAGACGTCGACTTATGTGTCAGCATTACTCCTATGGATGAATAAGTCGATGGAGGCAAACATAAACATAAAACACATTCCCATAGGCGTCGAACTTTCTGTCAACTCAAGTCAACCGACGATAAGGTTGATGGACATTCACATGATATGTTTTTACATGCAATAAAATTACAAGTGCTATAATTATAAATTGTTTAACACAATTGGGATTACTAGTTTGAATAATAAATACTCACAACTTTTCGCATAAAAGCCAATTGTAACACAATTATAACAACATGTCTTTCACATTTCTTAAAACTAAGAAATTCATGAAAAACATATCCATCGGCATGTTTTCTTTTTGTCAACAAAATTCACTTTTAAAATCACTAATAAATAATTATCGTAAGATTTTAGCTAAACACTTAAACTCAAATAAATCTACATAATTTTCACAACACTAGATTCGGTTAAAACACAAATCTACGAACTTTGAAATTATCATTATGGATTAATTTACTATGAATTTGTAATTATAGAGAAACATTTAACACAAAGTTAATGTATATAAAGTTGAGATTATCTGCGGTATACTCGCTTGAGTATACTCCAGATCCTTCTAGATCTGTCTTCAGAACTTGATCACGGAACTAAATCATAGAAAAAATATTTTGAGCGCACCCAAATTCCCTGTGTTGTAAGATTCCATCTTCATTGCTTTCCACAGTCTTTGATGTCTCCTTAAATACTTATACTGAAATCATGGCTCAAATATTGTCTTAAGATTGCAATTATATAGGGGTAGTAACCAAAGAGACAACACAAAAGACACCAAAGAGTAAAGATGAAGAATGATGAACTTAAATTATAGAAACTTGAATCTAACAATAATGGGAGAATCACATAGATCTGGATGTGTTCTAGTCATGTTAGACTCTGTCCTTAAGACAATATTTGAGCCTACCATGTTGCAAAACCGGGTTTGTTTGGCAATTTGCCTCTAGGACAAAAAGAACATAAGAACATGCAACTTTGCAAATATTGAATGTTCTCAAGAATTTAGGAATGCAAAAGATTATTTAAAATCCTACAATAGTAGGCCTATTTATAGGCAACACTTCAACAATTGAAAAGCTACTAATTAAGTATATAACCCTTGGTTGGTAAGGCAATAATCACCACCATATGTGAAGGATTGCTAACTTATTTATTATCCTTAAAATTTCAATTTAATTATTTTATACTACAAACTAAATTTCCAACAATAACTTCAAAATTTGTGCTTCATGAGAAGACAAATGTTCTCGAGATTTTTTGGCTACCCTTGCATGCATGGATTTTAAGCCTCTAATCTTTTCTTTAACCTGGGCAAAACTATGTTTGAAATCAGCTAAATCCCCAATAGCTTGATGAAAGGAGTAATATGATACTTAGATCCCTCTTTACCCTCATTCTTCACTTTTATCAAGCATTCAAGTAAAGCAAGAACATGAGAGTCACTCCCTGTGGCATAAGGACGCTTTTCTGTCTTACTTTTTCTCGGAAAATTGATCTTTTTTGGAGTATTAACATCCTCATTTCTCAATGTGTTCATGATGAGTGTCAAACTAAGTATGTTTTTAGACACATAATTTGCCTCTGTGTGCTTAGTTTTTAGGTCAATTAGATTAGGATTTTATATTTATAGGTTAATTTTGTGACTTTTGGTGATCCAGGGGCTCAATTACAAAATCAGTAAAAAAGTGGTCAAAATGTGGCAAAATGGTGAAGTTCTGGGCGAAATTAAAAGATGCTTATTGGACTGACGTGCAAGGGCAGAAATTGGGATGAATCCGGCGGGAAGAAGAGCTGATTGAAGGCCAAGTTGAACCAAGACTTCAAAGCTAAGGAAGAGGAGAAAGTGGTGAAGTGATGCTGCTGACAAGAGATGAGGTTGATGTGCCTTAAAACTGAATTAGAGTAACCAAATTCTCTCCAAAGTATGATTAGAAGTAAGGGGGAATATTGAGAAAATATGGGTCTCCTCTGCTTAACCCCCCCTTCCCCCCCGGGCTCTATATAAACCAGCAGCAACAGAAGAAGAAGGCAACAAGAGTTAGGATAGTAGAAGTTAGGATTAGTTTATCTCAGTTAGGTTAGAAACAGAGCATAAGGCTAGAAACCAGACTCAGGGATGTACCTTGGAGAAGTGAGAAGCTGACTCTGCGAAGTCAGCTGCACTTTACCACACTCCCTGACTTTGTCGTTCCCCTGTTTTCTACCTTGTCTTTTGTAACCATGAAGACGTCTCAACACTTGAATATTGTAGTATTTGAGCCTCCCTCCATGAGTAGCTAAACTCATTTCTAGGGTCTAATCATTCTACTCTGTATAAGTATGTTTTCATTCAAACTCTCGGATGATATATGTGTGTTTAGTCTTAGAGTTATCATTTACCTTTTAGTTGAATTGGCCATTTAGCCAACTGTGCTTGCATGTTAGGGGAATCCCGAAAGGGTAAACTTAACTTAGAACATCTAAGATTAACGACTTTGTCAAGTCATAAACTCACTTGCCAAGATCTTAATTTTGTTCATACATTGCATTACTTGCACTGCAACCCAACTTTCATCAGTTGTTTCCCGTCTCCCTGGGATCGACCTTCTTATCACTTTTTACAAGTTTTAAGTAGGTTTTTTTTTTGGTGGTCTTGACGCCCATCAGTTCTAGATTTAGAAACTTCTTTCTCTTGCCTCGCGCTATTTCACCTCCCAAATCACGATCTTGGCTCGCTTCAGCTTCTGAACATAAGATCCATCATCTTCATGCCCATTAGCTACCACAATTTGCTTGAGAGGATTGCTGGAGAACTTCTCTCCCAAATCCATGTTTTCATGACGCCTACTTGATTTAATATCACCTCCTAGCACCAAGTCACCCGAGCCATCATCTACTTCCTCATTCTCCTCTGACTCAGATGAGTCTTCCTCTTCTTCCTCATTAACATCTATATTTTTCTTGAGATTATTGTCTGAGTGTTTTTCTATGAAATCCATGTTTGCTTTGATGTCGTCGTTAGCCACCAACTCAGCTAAGTCATCCTCGTCTTCCTCAATCTCCTTTGACTTAGATGAGCGATCATCTTCTTTCTCATTGCTTTCGGCATGTTCATTAGTTCCCATTTTTTTCTCCCAAATCCATGTTCTGTTGTTCCTGTTCATTTCTTACTTCGAAATCACCGTCAGACTCAAACTCAGATGATTAATCCTTTTCTCCTTAAGCAATGGAATTTTCTTCACTCGAACCAGATTCAGATTGCTCTTAGCCTTCGGAACCTGATTCAGAATCTTCCTCGTCTTTGTATCCTATGGAATTCTCAATTGGATGCCTCAATTTCTTAAGTGCTAGCTGATCAACTTCATTATTAGATAATGGTAGTGATTTACATTCTTTACTTTTCTCAACGGTTGCTCTAGAACGACGAATCCCCATAATCTTTTTGCTGGTCGATATTGTTGTAGACGGTGCAAGTGCAAGTGAGAAGAACAAGTGGCGGTTGACGGTGTCGCACAACCCGGTGGTAGATGAAAGAATCAAGTTTCATTTCTTCTTGAGCACCATATTAGGTTTTATTTGGATAACCATCTTCCAAGGCATTAACCTCCCAAAAATTATGTTAAACTTTAAAACCAGCACGATGCAAAATACCTTAGATTTGACTCAATGTTGCATAATGTTTCTATGGAAGTGTCTTGTTATTATTTAGCATCTGGACCACAACTTTATTGTCTGTTTGTATCTTGACCATATTGTATCCTTGCTCTTCTGCCCATTTTAAGCCTTGAAGGATTCCATTGATTTCTACTCCAATGCTTAAATTTTCTCCAATATGGCTACATGCTGCTTTGATGAAAGTTCCTTGATCACCTCGAGCTATATAGCTCCATCCAGCATCTCCTGGGTTTCCCAAGGATGAACCATCTATATATATTCGGTGTCCTATAACATTGTAGCATTTCTTCATTGATTGCACAAAATCAAATGAGATATGGAAGCATTTTGCAAACCTTTTAAATGTCTTGTTGCCGCAACCAGCCTCAATTTGGACTTTAACTATGGTGGTCTGTAGGAAGTTCTAAAACTGCAAAGAAAAACCTTGATCAAACATGCTCTGATTTTCATTTTTTGGGAATTATGGAAGGCTAGAAATCAAGCTTTTTTCGAAGGAGTGAGGATCTCTAATGCTCATATAACTAAAATGATTATGGAGCATCTTTGCAATTTGCTATTTATTCACAAACTGCCGGCAAATGCTCCACAGAACGGCTCTTCCTTGAAGAAACATTTGCGCAACTCAAAATCTCGGTGAAAGAAAGAAAAATCTTTGTCGTCAAATGGAAACATCTGATTCCAGGTTTTTTTTTTTTCGTTTTGAACACTAATGGCTCATTTAATCATGATAATATGAACTTTGGCTATGGTTTTTTTTATTAGAGGTGAAGGAGGATCCTCCATATACCGTGAAGCAGGACATCTGGGAGATGGTGACAGTTTCTCAACGGAATTCCACGGTATCCTTTTTGGTCTTCAAAAATGTGTTCAGCTCGACATCATCAATGTGGAGATTCAGACAGACAATCAATCCTTGGTCCAGCTTTTACAAGATTCTAAAAATTATTCGTGAAAATACTTTTTCGAATTAAAGGAAGTTTTTTCTTATATTCAAAGAAGAAGGTATAAAATAGTTTACGTTTATCGTGAAACACATACTGTGGCGGACAATCTAGCACGTCTACCATCTTCAGGAGAATCAAAGGTATTCGAGCAGATTAGTTATCTTCCTAGATAGGTAAAAGGTCTTTTGATCATGGATCAACATGGTTTTCCTTATTTGAGGGAAAAATGATTTTTTTAAAGAAATCAAAAGATTATATATATTTTTTATGATAGTTTTTTTTTTTATTTTTTATTGCGAACTGATCTGGGACTGTGCGTAGTCTTTCTTAATCAGTTCATAGTTTTAACTTTATTTCTAATTTTGAACTGTCAAAGAAATTTTAGACAATATTTGTAAGACAGTTCATAGCTATAATTTATTTAAGAACCGTCATGGAGCTTTTAGAAAAACTTTTGCAAGACGATTTCTTTTTCTATTGGATAAGTCTTAAGTACTGCCTTTTGTATATTTTCTTTTCAATCAATAAAATCGAGGTCCTCCGCCAAGGACCGCCCTGGATTCTTCTAAAAAAAAATCATAGATATTTAAAGTTCTTCATGTTCACCAAATTTAACGTATATCATGTTATTGCTTCTATGATTATTAAAATGACATTCCATGTGCTCTGTTTTACTGCTACTTATTGTAAAACCTATAAATTCTAGTGTCTTCTTCTTTTTTTTTAACAAAAATAATTTTATTGAAATGCCGAAAATAAAATAGGGCAGTGAACATATTGAACCCTATGCAATATACAATTTTAACTTTATGCGAAATTTGTTTCCTTATTCAATCTAGAAGAGCGACGGATTCTAACATTAGCCTTGCCCTTGCTTTTCTTCTTGTACTTGTGGTGTGGTAGCATAGAAACTTCATTGTAGAAAGACTCCCATTCCATTGCCAATTCCATATCAAATTCTTCATCTTCCGAAAAATTGGAGGCTTGGTTTCGTTCACCTTCGGAATTTATGAGATCAATTGAGAAATCTTTACGAAAAGACTCGGTATTTTTCTCAACATCCATATCATCCTTTGACAAGTATTTTTGTTGCAATTTCTCCATGGCTGGAGCTAGGATAGGAAGTAAAACTTGTAGAAGAGGTATTTTTGATTGAAGGGAAGAGCAGAATTCTTCAGTATCAGGATTTAATTTTTTGATTGAGTTGTTGACGGAATTATTTTTTGAAGATGCATCTTCAGAATATGAGGGCAGAGATTGCGGAATTGTAGGAGCATTAATTGCGGGATTGCTTGGAGATGTTTCCACTGATTGTGATTCATTTAAAATTTGAAAGTCCGGATTTGATTGGCTTGCGGGATCTTGATTTGATTTTGCTGAAGATTGATCATTAATTGCGGGATTTGTTGCGGGATCGTGAAGATTGAACTTGTTTGAAATTTGAAAATCCTGATTGGATTGATTTGGGAGCATTGATTGCGTATCTCTTTCAACTGCAGCAAATAAGGGATTTAGTTACACTTTTAAAGGAATTTGCAAAATTGTAGGAGTTTCCTTTCCACCGTTGGCCATCGGAGACTCCCACCGGCCTTCCTCCATTGGATCTTCCTCCAATGGCGGCGCAGGCGATGGATTTTCTTGATTATCCACAAGTTGAGCCTCTATGGTTTTTTCCCCCGTTGGCAACTCCAAGATCGATGATGATTCTGGAATTTTAGATGATTGCTTTTCTGGTACCGGTTCCTTTGATTATTTATTTGTGAGTTGATGTGAATCCGTTTTTGGTGGTGCTGCGAGTTTATTTTGTCGACAGGAGTGGAGGTCGTGGCCAATTTTTCTGCAGTCAACACAATGTTGGGGCATGTTTTCAAAGAGAATTGATTGAAAGAATTTCCTTCGACTCCCAGTCTGATTTGAATGGGACAATTCTTGAGAAGATCTATCTCTACACAAAATCGTGCCACTGAGGGTCGTGACATATTGAGGGTTGGGACGTCAATTTGAAGAGGCGTTCCAATGATGCTAGCAAGATTCCACAAGTATTCTTTATTGAAGCGATGAATGGGAAGGCCTTCAAAGGAAACCCAAACTGGAAATATGGAGCTTTCTTCCGTTGGATTAAAGTATGTTGTCCATTTTAGAACTCGCATCCCGTGTGTGTCAAAGGTCCATAAATCTTTTAGCCAGCAATGATGATAATCGTCCTCCAAATGGAAACAAATGAGGACATGTCGGTGGTCGATCATTCCAAGTGAGAAGCTTCTTTTGAAGCCAATTGTTTGGAATTCTATCCTCAAGTATTCCATTTTTGGCCAGCCTTTGGTGAATTTCCAACAAGAGCAAGTCAGAAAGGGGCAGCCAATTTTTCATCTTCTTCTTTTGTAAGTAAAAAAGTCGGCTTTCCTTTGAAGAGAGTTGGTTCCGAGTGTATAACGGGTGGGTTCAGATCTTGATTTTTTTGTTGAGTGATTGTGTAGAATTTTTGGATTTGGATTAGATCCTAGAATTTGAGCAAAGGAAGGACGTTGGTTAGGAGGTTGAGTTGGTTGTGTTGGGCCTATGGCCGGCGGCCGATTGCCGGCCATGAGAAAGGGAGAAGAGAGATACCTGAAGAGAGAAGGGAGAGCATCCCCAGTCTAGAGAGAGAAAATCAAAAAGGAAATTCTAGTGTCTTCTTCTAAGTTTCTAACTTGGCATTTATCTCCTTCCTCGTTTCATCTATTAAAAGTATGTCACCGCAAATAACAGATATTTGGGGATGGCTATCTAGAAATGATTAGTAATTTCATTAAATACTAATGCCAGAAGATATGGGTTCAACACCGACCTTTGATGCAAATCAATAGTGATTGGGGATTCATCCGAAATTTGTACAAGTTCCTCACACATGTTGTTACATTATTATACGTTTTTCTAAAGTTTCGATATATTCTATTCTCATTCCCTTCATTTCTAACGTCCGTTTTATTTTATCTCTATTAACCCTATCACATGTTTTTTCAAGATTAATAAAGATCATGTGCAAATCTTTTTTGTTCTCATTGTTGATTTTCCTCGCATAGAACCAAATTGATTTTTGTTTTTTTTTTTCTTTTATCATATTTGGTTTTTGCCATAACCTAGTTATTATCCTCTTTCTGAAGTAATGAACTAGTAGCATATGAGTAAGCTATGGCACTAGAATAGATAGAGTTGTATGGAATTTTTCTAGAAAAACTTTGTAAGGCAAACTCTTAGATGTTTTTATAGTTGTTAATAGAACTATCATTAGGTTACTAGCAGAACTTTGGTAAGATAGTTCTTAGTTGTATTATGCTTTAGAACCATCATAGGATTTTAGTAAATCTTTGTAAGACAGTTCTTTTCCTTCGGATAAGTCTTAAGCTTTTGTTTAACATTTCCAGAAAGACCACACTGCCTTTTGTATTTTTTTTAAATTATTATTAATAATATCGGGGCAACGCCCGCTAGGTACCGTCCTGGATTTTCTTTTAAAAAAATCCTCTTTATCATAATTTCATTGTGTGAACATTAGTTTTTTGCTCTTATAGTTAACACAAATTTGTATATCTCTTTTATTTTAAACAAAGGTATTAATGTGCTATCCTTAATTGATTAAGCATTTGTTTACTCTTTATGATTATATTATGTAACCCCGTAAGCCATTTAATCTCAAATATGCGAATATATCTTTAGGCCTCTATTGAAATATGATCGGGTCCTATGATTTTATCGTTTTTTTCCCATAACTCTTTCAGCCTCTTTAACTTGGATTTCTCTACAATATGTGAAATTTTTATGTTCTCACTTTGGCCTAATTCACCTTGTATTATATCCATATTATTTACTTCATTAAATAGTAAATGAAAATAACATTTCCACCTATCTTTTATTATCTAATTATCAACTAAAACATGCCCATTTCATCTTTTATGCATTTAATTTCAGTTAAATCTGTTGTCTTCTTTACGCTTAACTTTGCGATCATTAAAGTGGAAAATAACATTCCACTTTAAGTCTTCTGTTGTCTTCTTTATGCTCAATTTGTTGTCTTCTTAAGTCTTAAGCTTTTTGTCCCATCATTAAAGTTGTATTTGGGGGAAAATTCTGTTACGTTGTTATCAGAAGTTATTAAAAAAAAAGTAATGCCCTTTCATGAATATTTATTGTTCATTGCCCCTCACATAAATTTCCCCTAAATTTTATAAAGAGGATAGTTTCCTAAGACAGAGAGAATATAGAAGTTAGATTTTTTGTTTTTATTATTACTAGTGTTCACCCCGTGCATTGTACGGAAATATACGACGAGTGCAAAATGTATTTGGTTGGATTGTAGGGAGATAAGGTGGTTTCTGCTTCTTAAATACTAACAAAGTTTGGTGAAAAAAAATTAACGCAGTTTAACTATTAAGTTTTTAGAGAAATCTAAAATTTGAAAATATTAAGTACTAAAATATTCCTTAATTATTCTTAAATTATGAAATAGTTAGTAAATATTGTGATATTATTAGGTCTGGGCATTTAAGTTTTGGTGGGGGGGGGGGAGTGTATAGTCTGTTTTAGATCTATGTCTCTGTTTTTAGGTCTGTGCATACATGTTTTTGTATTTTTGGGCTCTTTGCCTTGTTTTTCTGTTTTTTTTGTGTTTTGTTTTTCTTCTGTGATCGAGTCAGTAGAGTTTTTGTCTCTAGGATAAGTGAGAATGCATGTTTAGTAGATAGTCAAATGTTAAGGATGAAAACAGAAATTAGGCTTACATTTGGCTGAATACTTGTTTGAAAACCAAATTGATCAAAATTGAAACTCACTTCCACTTCCTCATGCAAACAGTTCACTTGACAAAGTGTTATTCTGGACTTAAATGCTTAAAATTTGAAAATATTACTGATATATTGACATCAGAAATAGAGTTGATCCACCTACTTTCAGCGGCGGAGGTAGGTTATGGAGGTGGTCGGTGATGGTAATAAATATTATTTTAATTAAAAAACTATCCAAACAATTTTTTAAATTTTCTCTCAAAACAAAATTTGAATCACATCTCAAACTCAAATAAAAAACTAAACCAAAAACCATCATCCAAACAAGCTCAAATATTTGTTAAATATTATTAAATTATGAAATATGAAAAAATTAATTTTAAAAATATGAAATAGTCAGAAACATTGAGATATTAATTGAATATTAAAAACATTTAAAAATAAAGAAATACTCACATTGTTTTTTGCCTTTGTCCTAGCTGGTAAAAAATTATAGAAGTTATTTTCTAATTGATATAATCAAATTTCAGTTTTACTCTTGGACCAGTTAACTATAACCTTATTAGCTCCCCAAATTTAGTTAATCCACAACAAATTATAACAAACTACCAAAACTAAATCATGATTCAAATTCATATATTGATTCTGTTATACAACTAATTCTATCTGAAGGTTGTCATATTTGATTAATTATAATATAAATGTAACGAAGTTAGTAATTAATTTTTACTATATATTTTGACTGAACTTCTAATTGCTGCACTTGTTCAAAAATGATTTTGTATTAATATATATAGATTATTATTCTTATTTTATTTTATTTATTTATTTGGGGCCTTATCGGCAATATCGGGCAATTACTTCTAACCATTTCTTCCAAGACCCATCTTATCTCTCTTGCCGGAATTCTCCCGCCAAGACAGAGCCACTTCGACCTCCGTCCTTCACTTGCATTTCTTTTCCGAGTCAGTTTTTCTTCTTTCCCTTTTAATTTCCGAACAATTTTTTTGCTCCCTCTTTCTGGGTTTTTTTTTTTCTTTTTGTTGGAGGCTCTCTCGTCTCTTTTCGTCTGTGTTTGGTGTGTTTATACTGACATGTCTCAAATTTCAAATAGTTAATCGTGATTTGTTTATGGGATTTGTTGAATGATTCAGCTGGATATTTTCCTCTTTCTGTAAATCTTCTAATAGTCTAATGATGAAAAGAATTTCTTGGCTTGCTAGTGAATTAAGGAGCTCTGAGTTGTCAATTTACGCGGTGTTGAGCACAATTGTTCTTGTTGCTGTTAGGAACCTGATATTTCTTTTAAGTTAGGCGTATCTAGGGGATAGAGGAAATCTCTTTGTTTTCCTCTCAGGTAGCTTGGTTGGATTGTTTGAGGCTCACTTTGTTTCTGTCCGTCCGTGCGTTGAAATTTGCATTTGTTCTTAATGTAGATTGATTAAAAACTGTTTCACAGTTGTGCTGTAAATCTTCCTTGTTTGTTTTCCGTTTTTATTTGGTTTAATACCTCACTTCAAGGACCCTTTTTTCTTGTCATACTGCCTGAAAATCCCTTTACTTTCTATACATTCTTTCTCTTGTTGATTTGTTGCATTTCTTTTTCCTGTCATATGCTTTCACGTAGTTGACACATTTCAGGCATTACATTTCCGATCCGCATAGAAATTTTTGTGAACTAGTTTACTATTTTAACACTTTTGATCAATTGTCAGGGTTATTCGGTTGATATCTTGCATGAGCCGTGAAGATTTGTGAGTGACATGGGGACTCATGTGATACATATTCTATCCAGTTCTCAATGTATAAACACCGAGTTATTCTCCTCTCAGGTTAGATATATTTAATGAAATTTCCAAAACTCGTAGCATCAAGATAAGAGTTTATTGATTTTATCCACAGAATTGTTGATCCTTATTTCTGATAAAGTTGAGATTTCTAGGCCCTTTCTGATATATGAATCCACTAACTTTATTGCCCTCACAATTATAGCTTCTTTCGTCCCTGTGAGCCTTTGTTCTATACTACTTTAGTATCTAGAATGTAGTTTTATTACACCATTTTAGGAATCCTCTGTTTCTGGAGTTAATGTTATGGTCATCTCTATAATCATTTGAGTTTTCATGTTTATGCTGCAACTTTTCTCTTGCTATTTGGTGACAATCTACTACGTCAGCTATACAGGGACTCATATTTTTTCTCTGTGCCTTGTTGTAACTACTTGTGGTAGTTAATGGCCTCAGTTCTGATTCCAAGAACAGTAACTTTGGTTTGGAAATGAAATTCATAAACCAAAGATGATATGTATTTGAAGGAAGTTTTAGACTTATATCGAAAGAAAAGAAATGTTGTATATATTCAAGGAGGTTCAAGACTTGGGGGAAAAAAGAGTTAGAAAATTTTGCGATACATGATATGGATATTGGAGTGAGTCCAAAATTGCGGTTGTAAATGTTGTTTCTCTGTCTCTAAGATAGTAGAATTTGTTGAAGCATTTGATTTCTGATTTCTGGATATATTTGCTATTTAAAAAATTCAGATTTTAATATAAACTTTCCTTTTTGTATAATTGGTATGATTTTCCATGCTTCAAGCAATCACTCTTCCCTAGGCGAAGAAGTTCGTCATCTGTAATTAATAATGAGCGTAGTTAAATTAGCTTTCCTTCAAGACTTATCTTTAATCAGTTTTCTATAGGGCAACACTAAGCCATTATGTAGAATTTCTTTGAATTTATTACTTCTAGACGACGCTTCCCTTTGGGCTTTATGTTCCAGTGAAAAAGTATTGAACCTACAATGTCTGTTGTCGTTTCATCCATGTTAGGAGGGGACTTAGAACTACAGTAGCGAATGCCCTCAGAGCTAATTTGGATTCAGCAATTGGAAATTGCAATTATTTCTCGAGTTGTTGACTTTCATCAATCTATGGTGATAAATGCCTTACATGTGATTAGTTGTTTATCTCTGTTCTGAAACTCCGATGTGGTACTATTTTAATCCATGTTACCTTCTATATAACTGCCAGAATGCGTTGAAGACTGCTAAGAGGAATCCACTTTCGAGTTCTTGCTTGACAGCTAGCGGCACATTAGATGGCTTACCGCGTCATTTGAGGTGGAAGCAACAAAAATTCATTCTTTCAGTTGCGAATGGTGATCGTGTCGCGACAGACTATGGGAAAAAGGACACTTCAGATGCTGAGAAATCAGAATTAGATGATGGGTCGTCTTCAGTGAATGAATTATCCCTGAATTCTTCAGAAAGAGCTGGAGAAAATTCATCTAATACTCTAAAAGGTTCAGTATCACAGCTCTCAGAAATGAAAAATGACACACTTTCTTCCACAAATTCGAAAAATACAAAAGAGAAAACACCTTCACCCAACCCAAAACCGTCCCTAAAAAGATCTCCATTAACTGCCAGAGAGAAACTTAGGGCTGCCAAAGTTCTCAGTCGTTACACGGAATCGAAAGCAACCAAACCAGAACTGGGAAGCAGAGTACTGGAAGTGCTGAAAGAAAGTGATAAAGGGAAAAGGAGACCAGGTCTCCCCGAAGCCCCTACCAATCTGTTTGATGACAGCAAAAGAGGAATGCCTAAACCTGGTTGGACATTCGAATTTCCGGGTGGCTTTGATGTATTTCTGATTGCATTTTCATTTGTATTCATCAGCTCCGTGATGTTTGCAACAACTTTTCTCGTTTGGAAAGCCGGTGGCATTCATTACAATGAATTTTAAGTCTTACATTGACTTAGCTGATGATAGTGGGATGACGAGGGTCATTTCAGGTTATTTGCTGCCATAATGCCATTGCTTTGTATACATGGCTGTAGAGTCTGGACACTTGTTTCTCTTGTAGCATTATATACATTTGAATGTACATAAGTTCACCTTGGCCAGTAATACTATCTATGTCCATTCGCATCTTTCATATGTCTCCCTAATGAAATGTAATGCTGATCAGGGCGACAGGTCCCAAAAACTATTGGTTCCATACTTCCATCTGTCGTAACTGTTATCATAACATGGCGTCCAACCCCGTCACTTCTAAGGCTCCTCTGGTTTGTCTAACATGGCGTTCTCCACTCTATCATTTGCTCAAATTTTGAAGTTTTTTTTTTTTTTTCCCAGCATGATGGATAGTTCACGTTCTTGCTTCCTTTTTTAGTTAACTTTTTCATGGTTAATTATTCATCAAACAAAATCTCAGCTTCTCTTTGTTGGCTTTTTCTTTTTTTACTTTTCCGCTTGATAATTTTAAATTTTGGGTCCGATAATGTGCTGATCAGCAAAGATTTCTGTCTTCTTCTTTTTGCTTTTTGATTTCTATACGTTGGTTGTTGATTCCCTCTTGCTCTTTTTCAACTTAATGCACGAAGGTCTTCCGTTTAACCCCCCCACCCCCAAAAAAAAAAAAAAAATATCGCCTTAGAAATTTGGGAGTGGTGAAGTTGTGGCAGACATACTTGTTCTAAACTGGGCTTTCCTTTGTGTTACCAAACAAAAAATCAAGTAATCGAAAACACTGTTTTTTTTTAAAATGCATGAGTATGGGAACTTTTGGGTAAGGAATCAGACCTTATTCTTTGACATGAATCGGGGACCAACTAAGAAGAATGAGGAAAGAGGGAGAGGGATGAGTTTGAAATCAAGGCGTTCAATCATCGAGTAATTTTGTCGGCGATTTTTATATGATCCAGGTGTTTGATTGAGGGAGACAGTAACAGAGAGGCATTATGTGCTGGTAAAAATGGCTGGAAATAGAGCTTAGGCAAAATGAAGTTTGTCCACCAATTTTGTTAATCCCAGGATTTTGATAGTTTTGTTGAATCTCCACAAAATTTTACCCTAACTAAATGAAAGATGCTCCTCCATGTTCAGGGTCCTGGCTTCTGTAACAGACAACAAGAAGCTATTTTGATCAGCAGATATGGAAAATTCTTGCAGCTGAGCATTTGATATTCATCTAAAAGTAGTACTCTAATCTTTGATGAACCTGAACATAAAAAGGAATCCTTTTTTTTCTTTGATTTATGAATCATGAGTGGTTTTTATCAGTTGAGACTATTTCATTGAAATGCATCTGAAATATTCTCTCTCTTTTCCCCCCATTACGAATCTCTGTTTCTCAAGTCTCTTCGATGGATTTGAATCTCATTTCTGTCCTTTTTTTCCTTCTTGTGAGAGAAATGACAGTAACATGTCACATCATTATTTTAATACGGTTTTCAAAAACAATTATTTTAATTACTCCCCCGTCCAAAAAAAATAGCCCACAGTAGGTTTTGAGATATTGTACTTAGGCCAAACAGTATGACCACAACAATCAGCACAATGGAGAAGAAACATTGCCAACCAACTCAGACATGACATAGCTCCTCCACATCAAGCGCAATACATAAGTTCTAAATAGCAGTCCAAGATTGTTCATTGTCCTGCTGAACCCATCTAATCTGAGGCAACATCCAGAAACAAGTAGCTAAATTAATCCTAGGGCGATATGTCAGACATCGGGACCACTACTATCAACACAGAGAAAGGACTGACAAAAACACAAACATGAGAAGTGAAACTTGTTATACCTTGCCCTTTCCCACACAATCAAAATATCTTTAGGATGCATCCATCATTGGATGAGGGTCCCTTTCTGACCAACTGCACATCGGAGAAGGATTGGAAATCACCAAATGGATGAGAATCGGGTAAAAAATTTTCAGTAGGGTGTAACTTGTGGAAGGGCCAATATGGAGCATCACATAGAAGCCACAGCAAATCAACTGAGGATGCAAACTGCTGGTGACGAAATTCTAATGCCAAGCTTAGTTACAATCTGAAGAAAGCTTTTTGAACGGAGGTTCCTATCTCACCAGCTGCATATGCTTCATGGTTGATTACTTGTTTGTGAAAATACTTGGCACAGAAGAACTTAGCAACCTCCTTACCTGCAGTAAATTAATAAATTTGATTATTCAAGAATGTCTAATACTACATCTTCATCCTCCAAGTAGATATGTAGAATGATTGTAACTTTTCATCGAGCCAAAAAAGAAATAAAATATTTATCCTTGAGACAGACAGACCTCCCTCCACAAACTGCAGTCATTTATGCCTGCTGCTAATAGAATTACTACTACCAGTTATCTCAGTATCTCAAGAATAACAGGAGTATTTCTTTAGATGCATCCTGATAGCTCACCTACACTCAGTCTCTCCTTAAACTACGATAAACGACTCGATTCTAAAGTGCTTCCATGCAATATTTTGGGAAACAAAAAAAAGTAAAAAAAAGTTGCATAACATCATCGCAGAATTTAGCAATAAAGTCACAAGTAAAAGATCAATGAATTTTCTCATAGAAAATGAGATTTATACAATAAGAAATTAGAATGAAACAATCAATGAGATTTATACAATAAGAAATTAGAATGAAACAATCAATGGAGAAAAGATTACAGCATCGATGTATAAATGGATTATTTCAATTTCACACCCGATCTTAAGGTAGGAAAGCACTTTAGAATACAATATTTTTCAGGCTAATGATGCACAAACTACTAGACATGTAAATTAGTGAAACATTTAATGAGAGGAGTATAAAGCTGGCTCATAAGTTTCCTTGACGTGTAAACTATCTTCAATTAGGAAAAGCTTCCCAGCACCAAAGATTGCTTGATACATGAAAATAAAGCAGATATCATGGTCTGAGAAGCAATCATAACAGGCATTGTGGCCATCAAAACAAAAGACCAGAGTACAAAGTTTGGATTTTGGCAAGGATATGTACAAGCTCGAAAGAATGTAATATTCAATTTCATAAAGCAGAAGAAAAAGGTAATGGTGAAGAAAAAGAGTGTAAGGAGGATAGTGGTGTGCATATTTTCCGAAAGTATTACCTAAACAGAATTGGAGAATATCAACAGAATGAGGGTTTTTGGTATGGCATGCAGCTTGTCCCATATGCAAAGGTCCAATATATGCAAAGAAAAGGCGGGGAAGTACCAGACTACTGAAAGCAACTGAGGTAGTCCAGGTACACAATGTAGATTAGTTATGGTAGTTGAACCAAGAACAAGATGAAGGCAACCAAAACTTGAAGCAGAGTTATCACTTGTCAGCAAACATACCTGCATTGATGGCACAGAGAGATGGTAAAATCTGCAAGCATTGCTTCAGCTCCTGCAATTAGTCATAAACATGCAGATTAAATTTTCCTGATTCAGACAATCATGCAACACTCCTGTCTAGAAGACAGGATCAGATGTAAATCATTCGGCCAAAATGAAAACACAGTGTTGATGATAACTGTATATTTAGCATTCATAACTGAAGGGGCATTCTAAACTGTACAATTAGCCAACAAACTAGTAAGAAAGATTGAAGAGGAAGATCTTTAAATTCACAGTTCTTTTCCTTTGCAGTGCAGAGAGAAGCACTTCAAGAAAAAGCCATCCCTTTTGTTCATCAGCTGTGAGAATGCTTTCCCCCAGTCAGCTACATTAGCACATAATCTATCAAAATTAATATGATAAAGCATCATTACTTTCCATAACTATGAAACCAAAAATCTAACTTAGTGCTACAGAAGTATCAACCCTTAGTTTCCTCAAACTGATGGCAATTATTACAAGTAACCAAAAACTCAGGATTACAACAAGGGTCAAAGATAATAACATGATGCAACAGCCAATGAACATATAAGAACTTGAAACAAGAAGAGACGCCAATGCCAGCTGGAGGAACAAACCGCAACATGCTGCCTTCAGTATTACCAAGAAAGAATACAATCTTACAAATTTACAATTTTTCAGCAACAAATATGTATATATACAAACAAAATATTCAATTTTCTTAACTAAGACCTGAACTGTAGAGTTCAGGTTGATGGAAGAAACATAAACACAAAAGTAATATACAATTCAATACCAGGGATCAGAAACAAAGGCCTAACTACTCTTCTTTCCGCAGAAAAGATAGATCTAAATTGGATTTGGTGCCCTTACAACAGAACATTATGTGTAATCAAGTGTCAGATTCCAATGGACCCCAGACTAAAAGCATAATGCAAGTGCAGGAGAGATTGTGAAACCAACTTTACTTGTCCCAAACCACTGTATGCCGAACAGTTCCACAAGGAAACCATTGTGGTGATATCAGGAGCCTCTGCAAATTGAAAAATAATCAGAGGTTCGTTTCATCAAACCTTTTCAATGAATGTATTATCATTGTTGAATCAATTACATCGTTGGCATTTACGTAAAGAAGTTCAGTTATCAAAGGTTAAAAGACTTGTGTATATGTACACATATAAGGTACTGCCAAAATCTGTAATGAGGAAGTTCACACCTTTAGGCCCTGTACCCAACATCTTGATAGCACCTTGCAGATCAGTAACAGCAGATATCACTGCAGCGGATAATTTTTATAGTGTCAGCCAAGGAATAACAGCAGGCTATGAAGCGGATTATGAAACTCAAACATCAGTTTTAATTCTCAACATCTAACAGTTATCATTTTCTAGTCATTTCAGTTACATATATTTGGATATCTAATCTTTTTGTACATATTTGGCAAAGTTAAACCCAAATGTCAGGGCCAATATGAGAGGATCCAAAGTAACTTAGTTTCTCCTAGCATTCGTTCTATCAGAAGTGTTCTGAGAAAGCATGACATACATCTATCACTAACAAAACAAATTCCTAACTCCAAATAATAGACATCCACAACATGAATCCTTCTTCCACTATCTTATAATAGAAATATCAACGGAATGATGCTTAACCATTCATCCTGTGAATGAAGAAAATGCTTCATCAGGAAGGACCCCCAGGTATAATTGTAATCAATTCTCAACTTCTAAAGTTCTTCTACTATTATACAAAAGTACACATGCCCTAACCATCATTCATTTAAGGTTGGATGTTCTTCCGCAAAACAATGGGAATTTTGAATTGAAACCACTTCATTACAAATTTAACTCCTGAATAAAATCATTGAAACAGAAAAGAGCGATAAGGACTACTGATGACCTGATATTGTTGGAGTTAAAATATCATCCCAAATCACCATGGGAGTCCCAGTCAGAACTAACCGCAACAAAAGGGTTTTGAGGGATGATTTATGCTCCAAAGCCTCCTTGATATTCAAAGACCTTCCACAATGCAAGGAAGGAAAACACGAAAAGTTATAAAATCAGGATAGATAGTGCGTTCTCATCTCATTGTAGAACCAGAGTCCACCTTAAACCTATTTTCTCGAATGCCTCATCAGGTCGATTTTCTCCCAGAAGGCCACCAATCAGAGTATTATAAGTATGAAGATTAAGGAATATACCTTTCTCTTTCATACCTTCTAAAGTAGCAAAAGTGGCCATGGAGATAGTGGCTCAAGGAAATGCAATAACTTTCACCAGATGTACCCCCAGATACAAAGGGATGATGAAAACCATTGTCACGTAGGCATGCAAAGCTAGTTAGGTAGTTGAGCAAAAGTTCCGCCATTAGGTACACATCCTCCAACCATCATCTTCTCGAAGATTTCATATGCACGGTCAGTATTTCCGGAAATTGTGTACCCCCTGATGAGAGCATTATAAGTAAAAACATCTGGTTCAAGACCCATGGCCACGAGCTCTTCATACATCTTTTCTGCTTCTTTTATCAAGCCAGCAACTCCAAGATTAAGAATTAGGGTATTGTATGTATACAAGTTTGGAGAAAGACCCCGGCTGCGCATCTCGCTTAGAAGAGTCAAAGCTTCATGATTTTTTCCTGATCTGCCAAGCCCATTTATCATAAGGTTGTAGGAGACTAGATCAGGATCAAGGCCAGTTAACTTAAGCTCTTCAAAATAGTGCAACGCCTGCTCCACCTTCCCAGAAAGACAGAGGCAATCCACAAGAATGGTGTAAGATTTCAAGTCAGGTCGTATCCCCTCATTGAGCATCCTATCAAAGAAGGCACATGCATTTTTTACATCACCGGCTTTCCCAAATCCATTAATAAGAATGTTATATATAGCAGAATTAGGTCGACATGCATATTGAGTCATTTCATCAAACAAGTTCTTTGCTTCATCCATCTTTCCGGACTTCAGAAGACCATCTAGAAGAGGACCGTATGTACAAGGAGTAGGGGAAAAACCTGCACTCAGTAGATTGTAGTAGAAATCCATGGCCTTCTCTACATCACCTGATTTTACAATACCAGAGATGACTATGTTATGAGTAATGGTGCCAGGAATACATCCTTTATGACGCATCTCTTCATACAATTTGAAAAGTTCGTTGACCATTCCCGACTTCCCAAGATCATCAAGCAACAAATTGTAAGTGGAAACATCAGGAGCACATCCAACATTTTTCATATCCATGAAAAGCTCCCAAGCCAACTCTTGGTGATGAATTTCGAGAAGGCCGGTAATCAGAACATGATATGTTTCCCGTGTTGGTTGAATCTCAAATGATTTGGTGGCTTTAAGAAACAATTGGTGAGCATCAAGGATTTTTTGCTGCCTGCATAGAACTTTTATAATTGGCACCATTATTGAGTCATATCTGCAAAGATCATCGGATAGTAATCTTTCCATAAATGACATGGCCAAAGGTAGTTCTGCTTCATTTGCAACTCCTTCCATCATATTCAGCCAAAATGATCTAACCAATGATTTTCTAGCATAACGAGCAAAATCCTTCACAATGTGGATAGCATCCTCAATTAAACCATCTTTCACAATACCAGGAAGGAAAACCCACAGAGTTACACAATCCGGGTAGAGTACTTTTCTCATCTGATTGTAGAACCAGAATGCCTCCCTAAACCTGTTTTCTCTAGTTAACCCTGAAAGGACAGTGTTGTACGTAATAATATCAGGGAAGCAGTTCATTCTTGTCATTTCATATAACATCTTCACGGCTAAGTCAACCTCATTATTTTTGCAAAGACAATCCAAAAGCGTGTTGAAAGTTATTGTATTAGGAGGACATCCACATCCAGCCATGCTTTTGAACAAATGAAAAGCCTCTTGGTATTTACCTTCCTTCCGAAGTCCAGCCAACAAAGTATTATACGTCACTACTGAAGGAACAAGCCTCATACCCTTCATTCTTGAAAACATTCTCCATGCCTCATCAGCACGATCAGCTTTGTAAAGCATGTCAAGCAAGGAATTCACTACCATCACATCAAGATCACAGCCACTTTCTATCATCTCATCTAGCAATTGAATAGCTTCATCTACTTTTTCAGCATGACTATAACACTTTATCATCATGTTATATGTTATAGAATCAGGCACAAGTCCACATCTTTTCATTCCATCAAAAATATCTTTTGCCTCCTTAAGCCTACCTGATTGTGCAAGGCCATAAAGGGATGCATTAAAAGAAACGGTGTCTGGAACAATTCCGTGAGCCTTCATCTTCTCAAAAATTTCAAGAGCTTTGTCAGTCTGACCTAATTTTCCATAGTAATCGATAAACAGAATGTATGTATATGCAGTATGCTCTAGACCTAATGCCTCCAAGCTATGAAATAGCTCAAATGCCTCATCAGGTCGATTTTCCCTCAGAAGCCCACCAATCAAAGTATTGTATGTATGAAGATTAGGGGATATGCCTTTCTCTTTCATAACTTCTAAAGTAGCAAAAGCTTCATCAATTTTTCCAACTTTGCACAAGACATCAACAAGTATTGTGAAACTCACAACATCTTCTTTGTAACCATCAGCTACCATCTGGTTGAAATATTCCTGAACAGATTCCAAATCTGCATGGTCAGTAAATTTTTCCAGCAAAGTGATGTAAGTCACACGATCGGGTTTCTGGCTCCCGGATCTCATTTTTAAGAAAACTTCTTTTGCCACGCCAAGCTTTCCAGCATCACAAAGCGCATCAATAAGAACAGTGTATGTAACCACATCAGGAGCACAACCTTCCTCATCCATTCTCTGCAGAATGACATATGCCTCGTCGATTTTACCCGCCCGACCAAGAGCTCTGATGCAAATGGTGAAAGTATAAACATTAGGCCTCAATCCCAAACTCTCCATCTCTTCCAGCAATCTCATTACGGTTTCAGTATCTCTTCTCTTGCCACATGCCACCATCAGTGCAGAGTATGTTTTAAGACTAGGCTTAAGCCCTTCCATAACCATCCTTCTATAAACCTCCAACGCTTCCCTCCAAAATCCAGCTTGAAGAACCAAATGTATTAACCCGTTGTAGGAGTAGGCATTCAATTGAAAGCCTGCCTTCTGCATTTTTTCAAGAGCAAATGCCACCAGCCGGATTCCACCCCTTATGTTAAGGCCCCTGAATATAATCAAATAGGTATCCAGATTTCTATATATGATCTGCTTTTGCATCAAATCAAACACCACGGCCATATCATTCAGCCTTTTCTTTTCCCGCAACAGCTCAAGCATGTAATTACATGTATCTGTGGTGTGAACCACAGTAGGCAACTCAGCCACAGATTTGAAATAAGAGAAAGCTTCAGTTGGGTCAGATATTGACTTCAAAACTCCAAAAACTTCATCGGAAGAAACACCCTTTTTGGGTTTTTCATTTACCACAACAACTTCATATGAATTTCTCATAAGAACCCCACATACATCCACTTTGTTTTTCCTAATCTTCTTCCATTTTAACCGAGACCCACATGCCAAAAACTTCAAAGTTCTAAACTTGTAAATTGACCCACCTGAATTATTATCAATTGGTTTATGACCAGTTGCATTCCAGGTACTAACATTACAACTGCAAATGCTTGGCGAGCTGATCAGCATAATCACATCCATCACGGCACCAAAACCAAAGCAAAGCAAACTGAAAATGCAATGAAAATCAGCGTAAACAAGAGCAATCCGATGCAAGGAAAATCATAAAGGAAAAGATGCTAAGCTTTGCTGACTGCTTTGTGTTTGCTCAATTGCTCAACAGAAAAAGAAAGAAGATAATGTGCTGTGTAGTTTAAAGGGATAGAATAGATAGGTTGAAGAACTTACCCAATACAATATCCGTTGATGTGAATTGAGAACGTTGGAAGTGAGATATGAATAAAAATATCTATCACATTTGGGCGGACGTTTTTGTGGCGGTAAAGTGACAGAATCTTCAGAGGGCTTTCAGATTCTTTTGATGGTTTCATAATCCAACGGGAGATTGAAAATTGGAGCTTTTTAGCCCTCAGATTATTACCTTTTTACAACATTAGTGCTTCTTCTTTCTTTCTTTTTTTTTTTTTTTTAATTTTATCTTCCAGTTATATCCTTACTCTAAAATTGTGTTTTACTTCCTGCAACAATAATGGGGTGTTTGTTTGGTAGGTTTGGGAATGAGGTAATGGAATAATTTTAACTATTAATATTTGGTTAGCAGGTTTTGAATTGGCATGAATGGATCAATACCCAATTATTTGGGAGATTCATGAAAAAAAAAATTTAATACTATCAAGTCATATTTCTGATCCGAATCTACCTTATTTTTAGATATTAGAAATCCAGATTTTAGAAAGTAGGTACTTTCAGATTTCTAAAATCTAAAAATAAGGTAGATTTGGATTTCAGAAATCCGAAAGTACCTATTTTCGAATTTGGAAAATCTAAAACACTTACTTTTGTCTACTCCCTCTCTCTAACTGCTCCAACTGCATATACTTTTGTCAATGCCCCTCCTATGAAAATGGGTCAAATATATCAATTATTTAGGAATTTTCTAAATTCATAAAAGAGTTCGAATTTTCCTCTGATTCCTGTTTTACTTTTTCTTTCCCTTCAACTCTTTGTTTTCTCATTATATTATATTGTATAGAAATTTATTATTATATTATAGAAATAACTTTTTTAATTATAAAAAACAAGTTTTATTTGAAATTTTGAGTCAAATTTAACTACGAAATAAGTATGAACATCATTGGATGAGAATTTAAATTGATTAATTTAAAACTCGAATTGTAATTGAACTCCATAATTTATTTCTTGTATTAAATTCGATATTGAAATAATAGCTATTCGGATTCATTTAAACTTATTAAGTTTTTTTTAAGAAAATCATAACAAAAAATATTCAAATTAACTTGATAAAAATATTATTAATTTTTAAATTCATAATTATATTTTTGTACCATTAATTAAGTAAATTAAATGTAAAAAAGAAAATGATATCTAAACCTGATTTATAAACCAAACAAGTGTTTTGAATTAGGTATATCATAGTAAACCATTCTTGTTATCATATCTAATCTTAGGGTGTATCCAATAACAAACCAAATGCCCCTTAGTTCACCACAAAAGGTAATGTGGTTATTAGTTGATAGAGAGAATTTTATTTATTTTTAATTGAAAAGGTAAATATATGCGTTTGATGATTTTGTATCTCAGTACATCTTGACAATTAAAAAATAGTCCCTAATTTTGTGCTTTCTAGATTCTATCCATGTCCATCTATTGGTATATACATTAATACAAAACAATCTATTCAAAATTGTTAATTCAATACCCGTTTTTTTTCCTCCATGCATTGATCAGTTCTTTATTTCACTTCTTTTCTATAATTTCCAACACTATTTCTACAGTTTTCCTTGTGCTTGTGAAAATTCTAGTATTCTTCTCTTCCCATACATAATATATGATCATAGCCATAACAACAAATGACATCTTTCTTTTCAAGTTACTGTTCTTCCAGATTATCAAGATATGTTCCTTTCACTTATTTATTTATTTTTTTTAAATGATAGACCCTTTTAACTCCAAGCAATACACAACATCATTCAAAAACTTAGCAGCAAAAATAGATGGATTTTCCGCTCTTAAAGTTATTCAACTTTATTTTATGGTTATTTAAAATTTAAAATTAACTATGCCTCACAGCTTTGTAATAATTATATAGGAAAAATTAAGAATTAGATAGTTTTAACTATGGTTATTTAAGAATTAGATAGTTTTATTGCATAAAATAGAAAAAATTAGAGATGTTATGAGATTTATGTTTCAAATTTCTGTAAAACATTCTTTTAGTTTTATCCTTCGTTTTAAAAATATAACGAACTATCAGGAGATAGTTTTTAGAACTATCTTTGTAAAGTCAGTTCATATATATACTTTATTAGAGAATCGTCATAAGGTTTTTAGAAAAAACATTCTCTAAGACGATCTCTTTTGAATTGGGTAAGTCTTAAGCACTGCCTCTTGTAATTTTTTCTTTATATTAATAAAATCGAGGGATGTCCACAAGATACTGTCCTGATTCTCTTAAAAAAAAAATAACTATGCCTCAAAATTTTTGACAATGTTATAACATCGGTCATTGTAGACTTGAAGTTTCATATTAATGAATTATTCTTTTGTTGTATTAACAAAATGACGAATATAAAGATCAATGAAAGGTTTATTATTATTATCATTTTATTTTTTAAAAAAAATTGGATGACTCCTGCGAGAATCGAACCCTCGATGTCCTGATAATGACCATTCCCATCCTAATTCCCTAACTATCCCACCCAACCCTCCCGCCCCAGGTTTATTATATTTTTTCTAAACTAATTTCATTAATTTGTTCAAAAATCATCCAACATGATATTTTATGTTAAATTTATTTGAAAAGCACAAATAACTCAAATTTGTCTCATTCATTAAATATATATTTTCTTTCTACAAAACCTTAAATGTTTTTATATTGGCACAAATCTCTAGATTCAATTTCAAACAACTATTTTTCTTCATTTCATGTTATCCCCTCATTATAGATTATACTTGTGGTATGAAATATCCAAGAGATGATGATCATAATCTCCTCCCATAATAATAAAGAATTTTTTCCTTAAATATATTTCGAGATATATACCTGGACAAAAATAAATTTTTCAATAATTTTGTGGACAAACTTATATGTCTCGGATTTAGGAAATCCGAATGGGGGAGAAGCTCGGATTTCGTAAATCCGAATCTCCATAAACTCGGATTATAGAAATCCGACTTTGTGTTACGTAAATCCGATATTAAGTTAATGCCAAAAATTAGTGTAATTAATATAAATCCAGATTTTATAAATCCGTATTTACGAATAAAATATTAATTTCCGAATAGAGAAAAAAAATGTGTTGGAAAATTAAATTTGACAAAGACTCGGATTTCCGAAATCCGAATCTCCTCTGTTTTCTGAAAAATGGGGACACTCAGTTGGCTACAGACTCGGATTTCCGACATCCGAATCCTTTACAAAAAGTCTGAGTTCGGATTTCACAAATCCGAGTCTTTGTCAGAACTGAAAAAAAAATTGGACTGGTTTTCACCAGTCCTAAACCTGTTTACAGCACCAATAACAATGAAACATTAGAAAACAGAAATTTAATGGTAACAAAACAATAAACGGCATTCGATTAACAACAAAACAAATCAAGTTTCATACCAAAATCAATACAAAAACTACTTTAAATGTGCAAAATACATCAAATGTCTCATTTTTTTCCCTTTTCCTTTATTGTGCGCATCCAGAGTGTATTTGTTTGGGCCATGCCGATTCCTGTCTCCCCTCTTAAGATACGTGAGTATTGAACTCTGTTGTGGTTGGGACTGTCTACCAAACTGAGCGTCGGGTTGGGGTTGGGATTGGGACTCCCCCATGGTGAGAAATTTGACTCCCGGTTGTGGTTGTGACTGTCCACCAAACTGAGTCTCGGGTTCACCAAGGTCAAACTGAGTCTCGGGTCCACCAAGGTCAAACTGAGTCTCGGGTCCACCAAGGTCAAACTGAGTCTCGGGTCCACCAGCGTCTTCAAAATGAGTCTCGACCTGGATGCGCGAGTCTCGAGAATAATGTGCTTGATCCTCATTTTATTGACCCTCAGTTTGTTGTTGCGATGTCCGAGGGGGGATTGTGACCTTCCTCTTTCTTCCTCCTCCAATCTTATCTCTCGACCACGGTTTCGCTTTTTTACACAGCAGAGGTTGTGAGGGCAAAGATGGATCTTCATCAACCAGGATTTGGGTATCCTCCACCTCCATCTCATCATTTGCGCCCAGGATTAAAACAACATGTGTTTGATTGATGATATCGTCCAAATGCTTGTCGAGTTCTTCGTCTAGGAGATTCTCATCTTCTCGTTTTTCTCTAAACCTCTCGGTACTCACGCGAATGTTGTTCAATACTTCACCCTGAAAAGAAATTGGGACGTTAATTAAGAGAGTAAAATTCTAAAAAAATAAAAATGAAAAAAATGAAATGAAAACATAAGAAATAATAAAAGAAATATGGAATAAATTCACATATAATTTCACGCAGCTCGAAGAAGTCTCGTATCCTTGAGGTTCATAATTACCGGGATTGGAGATCAGTCTGACAGTTTTCACCATGAACCATTCATAGTACCCCTCATATACGGAACCAGGATCTCCTTCCTCTAAATCTCGTAGCACGTACTCTTCTCTCCTATTCCAATGACGACGTACTGCGGAATGGTGGTCCACCCAATTATTGCCAGGATACCCAAACATACTGTGGGCGTGATCGAGAAGGAATGCTGTGTTATCTTTAATCATAGGGCGCTTGGGAACATCCTGTATGTATTCAAATTGTCTTACGACTCTGCCCGACTCTTGGGGTTCCCTAATAGCTCAACAGAACATCCAACACCTGGTCGTCCAAATGGCTTGGCCTTGTGTACAGAAATTAGGGAGTCTATGAAGGACATGTGCATATGGTTGCCACCGAAACTGCACGAAAAAAATTTCATTAGATGGTACAACCGGAACGAAAAGAAATTCAAAGTAAATATAAATACCAAATTACAAGTACTTACATCTTCAACACGCAGGCTTATTAATTGATCTCTAAAAGGTGGGGTGCTGCTCCTTGGGGCGTCGCCGTAGGTGTACCTACATTTCCACCTTAATGAACAAAGGGGTACATTTGAATTAGTGAAAAAAATGAATAAGAAACAAATAGAAAAGAAATAAAAATTGAGTTATTTTGAACTGAAAAATACGTACCGCTGAGCTAATGGAGCAGACTCATCAATCAAATAATCTACTCCTTTTCTTTGTGGCGCAATCCTCTCGATCCGCTCATACGCCCATACCTAGTAAATTGCAATAATAATGTTAAAACTTCAAATTATAACGTCGAAAGCAGAAAATAATTAAAACACAAAATGAAAACTAATACGTACCTGTAGCAAATATAGACACCCAGTGGCGTCGTGCATGGTGTACTGTAATGCCTGGCTGCTTTGTCGTTCATTTTCTCGTATTTTTTCCATAACTCCGGGAGGATCGGTGTCATGCAATTTCTTGCAGACAATTGTTCTTCTCTGTAGAATTTAACAGTTTTGTGAAAGGTTGCATCGATCAAGGCTCTGATTGGTAAAAAACGAATTCCTTTCAACGCATTGTTGTAACTCTCAGAAATGTTGGTTGTCGCTATGCCCCAACGGCGAAGACCGGCTTTCAATCGAGCTCAGTTACTCCCTCCAATCCCTCGAAGATACTCCCATGCAGCAGGTTTGAATTCAATAAGCTCTGCCCTCATACGGTTGTATTTCACTCTTGAAAGCATCGTGCCCATCTTCCAACATAACCGCTTCACCTTTTTGCTATTATATCGCGACACAAGATTGCTGCGAATGTGGCGGAGGCAAAGAAAGTGGCCACCATCACCTGAATCACGCCATTCATCCATCTGTGACATTGCTCTCAGCAACCCTACATTCTGGTCGGATATCACACTTACGATTCTATCATACACAACCCACAACCTCAAATTCCTCATTAAAAATGCCCAACTCTCTACTGTTTCCTCATCCACAATCGCAAATGCAACTGGTAAACTGTACTTGTTTGCGGTATAAACCACCGCAACAAGCAATTTACCCTTGTATCTACCACGCAAAAAGGTTCCATCGATACAAATGACCGGTGGACATTCAAAAAACGTCTCAGCCACTGGTGCAAATGACCAGAAGACGTATTTAAATGTCATATTTTCCCTGTTCCAACTTTCTTGTCCCTCCTTCCATTCCCACTCTACTACAATCTCAGGATTAGTAAACTTAAGCGCAACGATATACCTACACAACAACAAGTCATTGTTAAAATATTTCAATACATGTAAAAAAAAAATTCTACAAATATTTCAATACACGAATAAAACTTGATATTTACTGTGGAAGTTCTTCGAAATTCGAGGTCCAATCACCAAAGACCGCTTCTATGGCTTTCCTCCTCCCATGCCACGCCCTTTTGTATGGCACATCTACTTTCAATAAGGTCTTCACATCTTTATGTGCCGAGGCTACCGTATAATCTACGTTGTCCTCAACCTTTCTCCTGATGAGTCTAGCAATCAAAGACGCGTACACACACCGATTGTCATTATCATTCACGGGAATCATGCAATTATGTGCATCATGCCATCTCACAATTTCATGAAGGCCGTGAGCTTTCAAAGACACACGCATCTTCCACTCACATGGTGGTTCACCATCCTCACTTTCCACATTAAATGTTCTGCACCGCACAGCCCACGTCCTTGGACTATTCGCGGCGACTGTATATTCCCTTTTATGATGGATGTTCCATAATTTTACAGCATACTTTACTTCTGATTGAGATTTGAAACAAACACCAATGTCCATTCCTTCGGGCGTCTCATCCCACATCTTAAGAGCAAGCTCATCCTTGTCTACACATGAGGCATCCCATTTCCCCATCTTACTATATACATGGCGTCGGGGCAATGGATTACAATCCCTTTCCTCATTTTCCAACCTTTCATCATCACTTTCTTCAAAATCACTCTCTCCGGAGACATCACAGTCTTCTTCGCTTTCACTTGGAGCTATGCAGTCGGAATCCGACTCTTCCCGGTAGTCATCTTGTGCAACTAAAGATGTCTCCTCTTCATTACGGTTTCGAGAAGTACTAGCAGGTTTCTCCCCTTAGAAAACCACCAAATAACACATTTTTCAAACTCACTTCTCTTTCTTCTTGAGTGATATCTTCCAAATCTATGTATAAATCCAAACATGACATTGGATCTACACGGTTCATGAACTCTACATGCGAATCATTCTTGATCTTCACTACACGCCTACCACCGGGACTATCGAAAATCAAAGAAAGGTGGAGTTTCACGTGTGCTGGATCCCAACCAAGTGTCATACAAATCTTACTAATCAATCTCTCATATGACAACCTTTCTTCGAAAAACAAACCATCATCCGGCATATTCGAAAAAGTGTTGATGCTACCGTTCTCTATCACATACTTACTTGTATGATACAAATTAAGCATGTATGATACATTACGTGCCATTGGTAACTGTTAATAAAAAACATCAATAACTAATCATTTCTTCATAACAAAATCAACAAATACACCATACATACTCCATTCATGATTCAAAAAACCTATAAAATACTAAAATACTTATAAATCAACTTCGATATCTCATGAACAACTATGATTTCTCATATCTAACCTCAAAATCAACACCTAAAACATCCAAACAACCAACCAACATAAACCTTAATCTATCATACATCATTCTAACAATCAAAATAACACAAAACTAAACTAAATAATATGGTTTTGCAATCTAACCTCTTTCAAATAAAGATTCTCACGTATCTAGAGGCAAGAATGCATCAAAAGCTCCAATTCGCCCTTGTTTGAGCTGCAAAAAACAGAAAATCCGAGAACTGTCTGAAATTTTTTTTCTTTTATAGCACGTTAAACTCGGATTTAAGAAATCCGAGTCCGGAAGTAACTCGAATTTTTGAAATCCGAATTACACTAGCCTCGGATTTCATGAATCCGGATTTAGTCAATTTCGGATTATTTTATTCATTTTTTAGTCCTCCAATTTATGGTACATGCCTACTTCCACCAACCAAAATTAAAGGCAGTCGGATTTCCAAAATCCAAATTCATAAAACAGGATTACGGGCTTCCGGTTTTTGGATTCAGAAATTTCGCGCCGCGATTTTCTGTTTTTCTTTTTTCTTTTTGTACACTCGGATTTTGAAAATCCGAGTACTACTGTTCATTTAAGGTTTGAGTTCAAATTTTTCGCGCTTGAATTTACTATTTTTTAATTAAATTCGGATTTCGCAAATTCGACCAGCACTGTTCATTTAAGAATTTTAGAAAACTATTATTCAACAAAATTTATTTAATTATTATTTTATTAATAAATATAAGCTCGGATTTACGAAATACGAGTCTTTGATTTTAATTATAAGTCGGATTTCGAAAATCCGAGATATATATTTCTGTCCACTAATATTCTGAAAAATTCAAATTTGTCTATGTTTATTTTAATTAATTTTGTTAGGGAAAAAGCCCTAGTAATAAAACGTACTCCCTCCGTCCCATAATTATTGTCCAGTTTGGGTTTTAATTTTTAATTTAAATTATACTAAAAATGAAATCTCAAACTGGATAATAATTTTGGGACAGAGGGAGTAATAAGTCCACTACTGATAATAGTAATAATTTCTCCGAATATAGTAGGAGATAAACAGAATTTCTTCTAATATAAGGGAAGTTCCAGTAAATAAAACTAATGTACTAAATACCGCACGACTGCTAAATCGACCCAAAATCCGGGACTCTGCCGCAACCAAACAAACTCCACCGAACAAAATCTGTCATACAGAGATATATAGCACTTCAGGCTCCTTCCTAAATACTGCTGAAATATAGTCAATAAAGGGTGTGAACGAGAAGGGAAAAGGGGCTTTTTTCAGAACAGTCAAAAGCCATGAGTGGAAGAAGTGTTGTACCAGAATCAGTGATTGAGTCACTTGGGAGAACATCGGACAACGTTGATGAAGTTGGGATTTTTTTTGATGAATTCTTGGCTGTCTGTGATAATGACAATCTGTCCCAGTTGGACCCTCTTCAAAGGGCACAGTCCCTCCTATTGCTGTCCAAAGTTACCACAACCCTTTTTACATGTATGTCAGGGGATGGTCTTATTTGATGAATGATTGGTTTTTTCGGTGTTCCTAAATTGACTTGAGAGCAATTTTGTGTGTTTTTGTGATTTTTTTTTTGAATTAATTGTTGGGTTTTTTGCAGTGAGGTTGAGATGCCATGGAATCAACCCGGATGAGCATGCTGTCAAGTCTGAGCTTGTAAGTGACATGTCCTATTGGAGTACTTCAAATTCTTGACATGCATTCCTGTATATGGGTCTTGAATGATTTTTTTGGGATTTTGAAAAATTTGTGTCTATGTGATTGGGTTACCATAAGTGATTCTTGCTTGTTTTTTAAATCAAATTCTCTGGCTTTTGAGGGTTCTTTCCACAAATGTTGTGAGAGTGGTGGGTGACTTTAGCCTTATTCTTTGGCCCGCATGTTAATTAATGATTTTAACTTCTTGTGCTTAAGCATCATTTCTTCTAGATTTATTTGGTACTTAAAAGGTAACAAATGGTCTTTGCGTTTGGTGGGTGAATGGGGGAAGAAACCTGAATCATTTATTCAAATTTTTGTTACCTTACATTTTAGATCCTGATTGTTTTTTTCCCTCTCTAACTCTGGTCCTGACTGAGTTGATTTTGGCTTCATGCTTTCTGGATTATATCCTGATTTAAGTGGCTGTATTTGCTATTTTTTTTGACAGGAAAGGTTGAGTTTGTACCAGGAGAAGGTTCAGAGGTGCATAGATTTAAGTCAAGGTATTTACTTTTACTCCCTGCTTTTGACTTATGCGTAAGTTAAGATTAAGAAGTAAAAGGAAAATCCTTCATATTTATCACTTTTATTATGTTTCATCAAGTTTTAACTTGGGAAGAAGGGTCATTGGAGAGAGTTGTTGCTATGTGACTCATGGTCAAGGTTCTACTTGTGGAATTTGTCTTTTATAGAATCCTCTGACATTGCCGATTTTGGAATCTCTACACCCCAGGCCGTCCTTTGTAAGGTTTTATGCCCAGAAAGGGAAGATTTTCATTATGCATACACTGTGGGTAAATCTTGCTTGGTATTGCTGAAGTGATGTTATAGGGATGGCCATTCCGAGGTTAAATTAGGGTGAATTGTCTGCCAAAGAAAAAATTATCGCATTTGATGAACTAAAAATTACTACAAACCGGAGTCTGTTTTCTTGGACAGAGGGAGGACATGTGTTCCATGTAATATCTATTGGGTGTTTTCCCCCCTTTCTTGGAAGAGAATATTTTGACTTACATCTTATTCTTCTAATGTGCTTCGCTCGTTTTCATTGTACTGCGTTTTTTGAGAACTTTCCTGTTCATCTTTTGAAGCACCACAGCGTCCTTCAGCATCCATAAATTCACAAGCAGCAACCCGCTTCATTGAGCATTCGTTGCCTGATCTCACCAAAGGTAAGGGTTTGGTTGGTTTGTTGATCGCATTTCAACTGTCTTAAATTTGTCTTTGATGTATTGGTTAGTTTCGCAGATCAGAAGCAAAGCTTGAGGGAAATTAGTAGAAGACGGGATTCAGAGAGAACTGTGCACAAGAAGAGAAAGTTTGACTCAACTGGAAAGCAGTCTGTTCAGACTGCTGCAAAAGAATTTCTTGAGAAGGCTGCCCGTGAACTACTGGGTGATTCTGGAGGCAGTCATAAGGGTCCTTTAAACCTGGAGGATTCAGATGCGGAGATAGATGCACTTTTTGGCGATGACAGCAGTTAGCCATTTTAGTTGAAGAGTTATTTGCAGGTGACTGGCATGCAGACTGATTTTTCTGGTGGGTTTTGAGCTCATTGTTTCATTTTACATGGAATTTTTGTTTTCTTCCAACACTTATTTGAAACTTTAAGCCTCTGTATCTGTTCTTTTGGAAACTGAAAATTACTTGATTCTTTGCAATAGGGTTGTGGCCATGCATAGCTTTGCACATGTTCCTTGTTATCGTTACTCTGATTTGGAAGCTTTCTACTTCAATGATATTTTTTTAATCATATTATAGCTAGGTTTTAATAATGTTGATCTGCTTGCTATCGCCTATCGTTTCAGTGCACTCTGAACTAAGATTTATCGTTTCAGTTAAGTAACCTGAAGAAAGATGGTATCGACAGATTTTATTTCAGCTTCGTGTGGTGTTTCTATAATCTATCTTGTCAAAGAGCTCACTGTGTCTTTCTTTCTTTTCTTTTCGTAGTTATAAGTTTGAAAATGATGCTTCTATCGTTAGCAGTAGAAATAAATTTGTTTGGTTTGCAACTTTGCATTTTGCAATGTCAGTCATTTGCTTTGCTGTCTTTTTGATGTTGCAAGAGTTTCACTTAATGCTTACAGAAGCTTCTTTTAGTTGAAAATTTTGAATCTTGCTCCTTTGTGGCATACCCATTGTCATGTTACTTTGAAAGTCATCAGCATGTTGTTAAATTTTTTAGAAAATCTTGATTTCATTGACCTATTTGAGAATCATGCGCAAGGCATTGCTCAAATCTGAATCTTAGGCTAAGAAAAGATCCCATCAATTTCTAAAACACAGCAAGAGCAGAAGCAATGTGAACTTGTTATTTTGCTCTTTCTTATTTCATTAGGAATCTGAATTGGAACAATACATTGGTCAAGTTATGTTAACTGCAGTGAGAGCAGAAGCAATGTGAACTTGTCATTTTGATCTTTCTTATGTCGTTAGGAATCTGAATTGAAACAAATTATTGGTCAAGTTACGGTATCAGTTTTTGACGCTGCAATACGTCATATTTAACTTACTGCTGGTATGAGCCACACTTGTTACATTTCAAAAGCTAAACCATGGTAAAAATATAATCATAATGAACTCAGATAGCCGTTTGGTAAGTGCTGTTTTTTATTCTAACTCCTAATGAGCTCACGTCTTCATAAGGACCTCCTCGTAGAAACGACCAAATGATTTGAAAATGAGCTCAGGGAATGAAGTTAGATTTAGCAAGTAAAGCTTAGTGGACAAAATCCAGTTACATTTTTGTTCGTCTTCTTGGTCTTATTCGAAAGTCGAAGAGAGGAGATAGGACTATGTGTGGTGTGGAAACTGTAGCGTCAATTGAGACTGCACGGATTTTTTTCTAATGGCTTTCATACCGTGTCTTGTAAAAATCAGTTTACAGCCATTTTGTTGTTTGAGTTCTAGCTCCCTATGGTGAAGTGAAACCAATTTGCTGCGGTAATCACTAGCTCAAACTGGAAACTATCATTTTGAATATCAAATAGCCCTCTGGTGCCTCATGGGATATTCTCTGGAAATAGTGACTGCAGAAACAGATGTTGTTCTTACCACTTATTTGTTGCTAATTGTGTCTTTCTTTGTTTTCTCCATATTTATACTCCGTGGAGATGAGTTGGGGTTATCCATCTTATGCTTCTAAGTTTCCGAGAATGCAGGATTATGTAGAAGTGCAGCTGAAGCTTCAGGAATGTTGTATGTACTTGCATGGTTAAATGGGGTTAGCAGAATGTAAAGGTTTCCTTGTTAAAAATTGCAAGGGTCTTCTAGTTTCATAAACTCAGAATCATGTAAGTTTATTGGCAAAAATAGTTTCCAGTTGTAGTCTTGTTAGGCTAGAGTTTTACTTGGAAACTTTGGATATTTATTCCGAGATTTTGTTGGCTTGTATGCAAGCTAATCATGTAAACTTAAATGGTCCCTACTGTATTTTTTATCTGTACCTTTTAGGTTATTTTGGTTTTGTTTTTAGTTATTTGCTGTATGTGCCCTTCATCTTGACGCCAAGATTTGACTGTATGATTTGGTGGCTTGGTGCTAATGATTTGATTTTCTGATACCTCTAATTGGTTATGAGTCCGTCTGATTTCTTACTCGAAAGCATTTGTAAATGCCACACAAATTCGAATAAGAAATCTTAAACCTTTATTTTCTAGTTTCTCCTCTTCTGTCTGCTGCACAAAATGGTTTCCAAGATATACCGCTCCAATCTTCAATGATAATCCATTTTCATCCACAAAATGATTAGAGTTTGATTTTCAATCGGATTCTATCGTGCACACGTGCTGCTTCATCAATGATATTGGTGTGTTCCATGTTCATTAGGGATTCTTGCTCGCTTTCATCAACAAACGAACGATTTTCACCCCTGCGGCGCCATAAAAAAGAAAGAAGTTCTAAAATTTTGAAAACATTGCATAAATCTCCTTTTATCATTATATCCTTGTACTTAAACAAAAGGCACAGTAGGCAATAAATAATGCCCAAAAAATATTCAAGGACTACCGTGGAATCGATCTTGTCCGTCGGATAGGGTTGATGTGATAACAGCGACTTATTAAGTGTAAAAACGAGAATTTCAAAAATTTAGTTCATTCCAATTAAAAAAAAAACCCGTAATCTTTTGAAAAAAACAAACCCCTAACTTATAAAAGGATGTCGTTTTTAGGATTTAACTTTGGAATCCCCACTCCTGAAAACAATATATTTACAAAACCTGAAAGTTTTTTTTTGTTAAGAAACAACAACAAAACGACTTCGTTTTGTGGGTTTCTCTAGGGGAAAAAAAATGACTCAAACCGTTTAAAATTCCAAAACAGCCCCCGTCATTGTTCCTAATTTTTTCCCACTAAGAACTTCCATAAGGCTGTGCTCCGCCTACTCAGTCAGGTCCCCCTCTCTGCATCCTCCGCCACCACTAAACCTCGAATATATATTTTCCTTAAACATGCTTCACCAATTCGTACTATCCCGATTCCACCTCCACAAATTTAACCAAACAAAAACCCTAAGTTCCACCGAAGTCACCCCGTCGAATAGATTTTGCAAGAATGACTTCCTTCACTTGTACGAGATCAAATTCGTGGGGGAGCAACCGCATGTATCGTATCACGGTGGACATCATGACGGAGGAAGCGAGGCGGAGCTAGGTGTTTGGACGGAATAGGATTAGGAAATTACCTTTTTATTTGATTTGGAGTTATATGTGTAATAGGAATAACAAATTACTGTTTAATTTTTATTTATATATTTTCATAAATTTGGAATTGTAATATGAATAGGAAATTCAGTTCCTATCTGATTCCGAATTTGTATTGGGATGAGAATAGAAATCCCTTGACGGCCAGCATGTCTATAAAAACCACTAGCAAGCTCACAACTAGGATCACAAAAGGCTTCATTCTTCAGCTTACCAGTTTCTTTGATTTCTTCGTCTTTGATTCAGGTAAATCTTTTTTAACCTTTTAATTTTTATTTTTTTTTACCTCTATACGGTAGAGGAAGCTTGAATATTTGTAAAGATTTTTCCTCTGGTTCTTTTCCAAATCCTACAAACAGGTACTAATTTCGATTCCCTTATTTTTCTCGGTTTTGAAGTTATGAATTTGTTGTTAATTGAGCGAGGTTGTTGATAATTTTAATGGTTTGGAAACTAATAGACTGTCTTGGAAACAGATATTGTAATGGTTCCAGTTGCAGACACAATTCCAGCCGAATTACATAAAGTCCCCTTCTCTTACAAGATATTAGCACAAGGGTAAGGTATATGTTTCTAATTTCTTTTCCCTACAATTAAAGGCCCTGATGGTGTAGGATGTTTGGAATATTAAAAAACTCTAATCACAATGGCTCTATATCCGAATTTTGATTATCATGGGTTTGCTCACTTATTGTTGTCAATAGAAACAATTTATGTTCTGGCTTCTAGAATAATTTCTGCTTGTCCTTGGGAGAACATTTTTAAGGAGTTATATTATTCTCTAAAGGTAGATCATAGTTACACGAGAGGAAGCCGAAAATTTTTGACTTGTGGCATGAGATTCAGCCAGAGGTTCTTGGAGAGGCAAAATAATGTGTTAGAAAATAGATTTTGTTGTGTTCTGATTTTGTGGGATTAGCTTTACCGTTCTAGACCGGTGTATATACAAGTGAACTACATTATTGCTCAAGGTAGATAAATATATATATAAACTTTTCTAGGCATTGAGCTCTTTTGTGCGTTTTACATTGTGCATGTGATTCTTGATGTTCTTCTGCTATCTTTCAGCACCAATGATTATAACACTCAGAGCTGATACTTTTTAGGTGATAGATAACTAATCAGGATAAGTTTCTCATGTCAAAACTTTTGCCTGAGTTTCAATGATTAATTCCTCATACAGTTTATTCAACAAGTCATAGGACTTGTGTAGTGATCCATTTATGGTTCTTTGACAGTTCAGTTAGATTATTTTTCTATGCATAAATAAATTTGATATAGTCATTGGATGTTATTCCTCTTCTGCTAACATGAGTTTTACTTTGAGATTACCATAGATGAGGCTTCCATGTCGGTTATTTATTGGAACTTTTCTTCCTCAGACACTGTATAACTTTTAACATGCCTACCAATGAAGTAAATCTTTGATCACTCAATTGTCCAGTATAACTTTTGAATGGTAGAGTACTTAAGGTTTCGCGTACCTGTGTTTTGCATCATTGGTATAATCTGCTTGCCCTATTGTTAAAAGAAAAGTTCAACTTTCTCTGCCAAGTGAACTGGTAGCAATGTCCAAGTTGCTGCTTTAGCAGAATCTAGAAATAGACTGTATTGCGGTATTCTATTGTTATTTCATGTGATCTTTTTTGTTTTTACTGAAGAACTTACAATCTAAGTTATAATATTACTAAATGTTTATGATTTCCTCTGTTTGCAGATTCCGATGTTTTATTGTCTCAAGAATTTGTATTTTACGTTCCTTTTTGTTAGTTGAGCTAC